GAGATATGTACACCCTGGATAATCCATGAGATACTGGAGGAAGACTGGGATGGTCATTCAAAGCATTCTATTTGAAAATTAAAGGAGATGTAACTCCAAAAGGTTAAATATTTAGGAATATCAAAAAAAACACCTGTTTATTATGTGTTACAAATTGACTGTATTCTCCCACTAGTAGAACAGGCTGGGAAAAACGGCATTACCCATCATTTCACCTTCCAAAGTTTCATTCCTATTTACACCACAGTCAGATTTTCAGTAATTTTTATCTCCCTATAACATTCCTAAAAACAAATCTAAATTGGCAAATTTCAGTAAGCAAAGTTTTCATTGTTTTGAAAGAAATTTTTTACTTGATGATACCTAAAATAAATTACCAGTTTAATTATTTTTTTAATGCTTGGTTGGGCACAGTGGTTCATACCTATAATCCCAGCACTTTGGAAGGCCAAGGCAGGCGGATCACTTGAGGTCATGAGTTCCAAAGCAGCCTAGCTGACATGGAGAAACCTCATCTCTACTAAAGTACAAAGATTTGCCTGGCATTGTGGCATACACCTGTAACCCCAACTACTCTGGAGGCTGAGACATGAGAATCGCTTGAACGTAGGAGGCAGAGGTTGCAGTGAGCCTAGATCGCACCACTGCACTCCACCCTGGGCAACAGATCAAGACTCTATATATAAAAAAAAAAAAATGCTTTGGCCTTTCTGATTCTGCCTTAGAAAATACAGAAAAATATTACCTTAATGAGAATAGTCCTTCCCGTATTTGTTCAGTCCTCAAAATTATATCTGTGTAAAAAGTAATGACTAGGAAAATTAAAAAAAAAAAACATAAAAAAATGAAAAGTAATCAACAAATATTTACTGAGCAACAACAAATATTTTACTGAGTTTCCAAAGCATAATGCTGTTTACTAGAGATGCCAAAATAAATAAATGCTGGTCCCCAAAAGAGTCAAACCCAAGAAAATACTAACAATATTTTAAGTTTAATTTAAATTTTAGAGACACTTAAAATTATTTTTGCTTTTCTAGTGGTTTGCAAGAATTATCATTTTTAAAATAACTGCAACGTCAAAACTAATCTTTCATTTTAGTTTCAACAAAATAATTTTATAGTAACATTTTGTGCTTGCAAAATTCTTTGCCAAAGAGGTATTTTGTTCATTAAGTCCTAGTGGTCTAAGAGAAGCTTATTGAATACTAAACCAAAAAAAGCAGGAGTTATTAAATTTAAGATCTGCTTTCAGTTGGCATCTTGATATATTCAGCCAACACAATAAAACATAATAAAATCTTATGCATAAAAAATTATTGAAAATCAAAACCCTTTAGTGTGCTCTACGTTTACTGCCAGGTGCACTGAATATATCTAATGTGAGGTTAGGAAAGTGGTGGTAAATCAATGTGACACCTCGCCCTAAGCATCCATTCCTGGTTTGATCCCTTGAAAGGTGCTCTAAACTTATAATTCTTAAAGTACTTAAAGACATCATCAGAGTAGAAACATTTTAATTATGCAGGTAGTACTTATGGACAATTACAAGATTGAGAAAAAGAATAAGTAAAAAAAATTTTCAAAGCAAATTCCAGCAGGACTTGATAATACTGGACGCACAAACCTAATGTGGCTTTGAGTAGCAGCTCAGTCGATGTTTCTGCATGCACTTATCATGTTGCATGTAAAAGCGCCTTAGAAACTACAGTGTGTCTTATGCTGTTACAATATTTTCTCCTGCCAAGGCATATTCTATCAGTGCAAGGAATCAACAATGATTACAAAATTGATGACAGGGAGTTACAAATTTCCAGTCTTGTGGTTACTGACAATAAAAGTTGAGGTTGAAAATTCCTGGGAGGGGATGGATACCCCATTCTCCATAATGTGGCTACTACACATTCCATGTCTGTATCAAGGTATTTCATGTACCCCATACGCATATGAACCTACAAAGTACCCACAACAATTTTAAATGGAAAAAGGGAAAACAACAACAACAACAAGAAAATGCCTGGGGAGAGACTACAAAGTTGACTTAATTTTATATCAGTTGCCGTATTTACTTCTTGCCTTCCTACTGACCTCCTCTTTTCCACCTACATGTGTTCCCGAAGAAAAGCCAAATGGAGATGCTCTGCCTTAGTTCTTTCAAAGTAATAATATAAAAGTATCCAAGGAACTGTTATTACCTTTTTTTTTTTTTTTTTTTGCTTCAGACTCTGTCCCTGAGACACCGCCCACCCACACAGATGCAGACATGAGCACATACCAGTTGCCTCAAATTTCCAGAGCTGTGAGCTTTGTTCTCTGGAAGAGGACATCCAACTGTAAAATGTGAAAATGTGGCAGATTCGAATTTTCTTCATAGCCGTTGTAATAATAAATTAAAATAGCTTTACACCATACCTATATATTGAACTTACTTGAACGTATACTCTCACTCTAGCACCACATTGAAATTCATCAAAATTCAAATAGCTATAAATGAAACATGAGTGGTAATAATAACTTGAGATGTTGAAAAAATTGCTCAGGGTGATTTAGATTTTATAAACATAGTTATCAAAAGAAAAATAGCATTCTTTGCCCCCAAGAGTAAAAGATTCAGATGAAAATGTTTTCCTAATGAGCAGTGTGCTTGGGTATAGTATTATTACAGGAAAGATCAAAATTCCAGTCATCCTTGCTAAATTGCATGTCTGCTAACTTCAGCTATTTTGGGATTTTTAAAAGTTAAACCATTTCCGAGTCACAGGAGAAATATGCACAGTTCCCCTGTGCATGGAAACAAAGTGCAATTTATTCATTCCATCTCCTTATTTAAATTTTTTTTGAAAATTAGGTGAATCTGATGATTTATGCAACAACCTTTCAACATAGCTTATTGCAATCTTAGGATGATGGTAATGATAATAGATACCATTTGTGACTGCTGGACTTTATGTACTTCATTTATAATTCTCATATAAATTCTACAGGAGAATATCCTTGCTTAAGGTATTAATTTGCCCAAAAGCACTCAGGGTAAGCGCCAAGAATAAAACCAGGTCTCACATCAAAGTTTGAGCTCTGCTCATGAAGCAATGACTTTTACATCATTGTTTGAGATCCTAATGTCTTTTTTTTTTTTTGTGCAGCTACTATATTTTGTGCCATGATCTCAATATCATATTCTCAATCAAGCACTGTGAGAACACTGAAATTCCATATTACCAGGAGCAGAAGTTTCAAAGTGAAGCACTTTTCCTAATGCAGCCACTTAGTGGGAAAGGGTATCAATTGGATATTAGGAAAATTATTTTTCTCTCTTAAAAAGTTACATCTGATAGAATCTCCAAACTCAGTGCAAGAGGTGTGTATTTCTCCTGTGCAAGGGCACTTCCCCAATTGGGTTCTAGAAAATCACTACTCTAAGTATGACCTTGGGGCCAACAGCCTTAAGATTATCTGAGTGCTTGTTAGAAATGCACAATCTCAGGCTTCACCCACCAGCTGAATCGGAATTTGCGTTTTAATAGGATCTAGACTCATATGCTCGTTAAAGTTTGAAATGCCCTGCTACCCTACCCCACCCTAGGTTCCTCATTATTCCACTTCTTTCCATTTTCTTAATTTCTCTCTATTGGTTTCTTTTCCTCACATGAAAACATTCTTTTAAAAAGTCCTCTGCTGATTCTGCACCCCTATTTCCCCCTTTCTCTTCTTTTCTCAACCAAGTGTCATGAAGGAAGCTTCTATACTTTCTGAATCCACATTTTCTGTTCATTTCTCAACACACTGCAGTATAGTTTAGTCACCTACCAAATATCTGGCCATTACTATGTGCTAAGAACTGTATTAGACTCTAAGGATAAAATGGTATACAAAAGACACAGTCCTTGTCCTCAAATTACTATCCCCAAAATCATTTTGACATAGATCACCACTGATTTCTTGAATTGTCAATTCTGGGAAGCACTCTATATTAGCAATAGGAGAACACAGCTGTCCCGCTTAAGTCAGATATTGAAGAGATTTTGCAAAAATACAACAGTGCCACTCTTCTCACTAACTTTATTAAGAAAATATTTTTATAAAAATGTTATTTATGTTAACATGTAATAGGCTTGTTCTTAGTTTTAAATGAAAAAATATTCCTAAAATTAATTTTAATTTTTTCTTTTCTTAAGACAGAGCTTTGCTCTCATTGCCCAGGCTGGAGTGCAATGGTGCAATCTCCGCTCACAACAACCTCCTCCTCCTGGGTTCAAGTGGTTCTCCTGCCTTGGCCTCCCTAGTAGTTGGGATTACAGGCACCTGCCACCATGCCCAGCTAATTAATTTATTTTAATTTCTAAGAGATAGAGATCCATAACTCTCTAGGCTCCTCAGTAATTTTTAGATTATAAGGGGCTCCTGATGTTAAAAAGTTTGAGAACAACTGGATTTCATATGAAAGCCTTGTTGGTTGCTCAACGATAAAGTTTGGATATTTGTCCCTGCCCAAATCTCATGTTGAAATGTGATTTCCAACATTGGAGGTGGAGCCTGGCAAGAGATGTTTGCATCATGGGAACATTCCTCATGAATGGCTTAGCACCAGCCTCTTGGGGCTGTCCTTGCACCAATAGTGTGAATTGTTGCAAGATCGGGCTGTTTAAAATTGTGTAGTACTTCCCCTCACTCTCTCCCTTGCTCCTGCCTGCTTTCACCGTGTGAGGTGCCTGCTTCCTCTTCACCTTTTGCCATGATTGTAAGCTTCCCGAGGCCTCCCTAGAAGCCTCTAAGCACTACTACAGAGGCTGCAGAAGCTGTAGAACCTGCAGAACCATTAGCCAATTAAACTTGTTTCCCTTACAAATCGCCCAGTCTCAGGTGTTTCTTTAGAGCAATGCAAGAATGGTCGGATACACTCAATAAATCCCCAGTATCTACATAGGTGTCAGCTCTAAACTATATAATACATGTGAATAAGTTGCTTTCAACATTTTCTCTCCTATATTTGGTTAATTTAGCTATAGAAGTCACTTTCAAGAGATCAGGAGAAGATGGCCAAATTAAAAGCCTCCACCAACCATCCTCCCAACAGGAACATCAAATTTAAGAACTAACTACTCATAAAGGCACCTTCATAAGGACCAAAAATCAGGTGAGCAATTACAGTACATTGCTTTAACTTAAAATCACTGAAGAGGGTAGGAAAAACAGTCATGAATTGCTGACACCATCCTTCCCCTATTCCCCAGCAGCAGTGAATCGTGTGATTGGGGGAGGGAGAGTACAGGGATTATGGGACTTTGCATTGAAACTGCATGCTGCCCTGTCACAGTGGAAAGCAACATTTGCAGAACTCAGCCAATGCCCACAGAGGGAGCATTTAGACCAGCCCTAGCTAGAGTGAAATCATCCATCCCGGTGGCTGGAACTTGAGTTCTGGCAAGCTTGCCACTTGCAGGCTAAACTGTTCTGGAATCCTAAATAAACTTGAGAGGCAATCTAGGCAACAAAGTCTGGACTTGAGGGGCACATGACCCTAGTGGGGAACATCAACCAGGGCAGCCAAAGGAGGGTTTGCACCACCCCTCCTCCAAGGAGCATAGCTCACAGCTCTGAAAAAGACTCCTTCTTTCCACTTGCAGAGAGGAAAGGGAAGAGTAGAGGACTTTGTCTTACAGCTTGCAAACTAGCTCAGCCACAGTAGGATAGTGCACCAGGCAGAGTCATGAGGCCCCCGGGCGAGAAGCTAGCTCCCAGATGACATTCCTAGACACATGCTGGGCCAGAAAGGGCACTGTTGCCTTGAAAGGAAAGACCCTGGAAGAATTCATCATCTGCTAACTAGAAAGCCCTTGGGCCTTGAATAATCAGCAGCAGCAGACAGGTAATACATACCATGGGCTTTGAGTGAGACTCTGAGATGTGCTGGCTTCAGGAGTAACCCAGCACACTCCCTGCCATTCTGGTGTTGAGGAGAGACTCCTACTTCAGAAACACGGAGGGAAGAGTGAAAGGGGTAGTTTAGGTACCAGCTCAACCATAGTGGGGCAGAGCACCAAGAGGGCTCTTGAGTTCCCTGATTCTAGGCCTTAGCTCTTGGATAGCATTTCCGGACCTGACCTGGGCCACAGAGGAGCCCATTTCTATGCTTCCCTGAAGGGTAAGTCCCAGGCCTGGCAGCAATCAATCAACTACAAGCTGATTGGAGACACCCTGGGGCTTCAGTGAACACCAGTGGTAGCCAGGCAGTACTCACTATAGGCCTGGGGTGGTGGTGGCCACAGAGACAGACTCCTCTGCTTATGGAAAGAGGAGGAAAGTGTGGGAAGAACTTTGTCTTGGGGTTTGGATGTCAGCTCAGCCACAGCTGAATTAAGCACCAGGTAGATTTTAATATTTCCAACTCCATGCCCTGGTTCCCAAATGGCATCTCTGGACTGACCCATTGTCCAGGGGCACTCACTACCATGAAGGGAAGGACACAAGCCTGGCTGGCTTTGCCACCTGTTGATTGTAGAGTCCTAGGGCCTTGAGCAAACATAGGTGGTAGCCAGGTAGTGGTTACACCAGGCCTTGAGCAAGACCCAGTGCTGTATGGGTTTCAGCTCTGACCTAGCATAATCCCAGTGGTGGTATCACAGGCGTTCTTGTGTTACCCCTCTCCCAGCTCCAGGCAGCTCAAAACGGAGAGGCAGGGGAAGGCCATTTGTTTGGGAGAGAGTAAGGAAAGAGAACAAGAGTCTCTGCCCAGTAATCTAGAGAATTCTTCCAGATCTTATTCAAGACCACCAAGTTGTTACCTCTCTGAGTCTGCAAGAACCACCATGTTACTAGGCTAATGCAGATATGGTTGCAGTGACCAAACACTTAGATGACAACACCCAAGTCCCTTCAAATACCTGGAAAGCCTTTCCAAGAAAGGTGGGTGAAAGCAAGCACAGACTGTGAAGACTACAATGAATACTTAACTCTTCAATCCTCAGACACCAGTGAACATCCACAAGCATCAAGAGAATCCAGAAAAACATGACTTCACTAAACAAACTAAATAAGGCATCAGGGACCAATCCTGGAAGGACAGAGATATGTGACCTTTCAGATAGAGAATTCAAAATAGCCATCTCAAGGAAACTCAAAAGAAACTGACAAATATCGCAGGGGATATAAACCTCCCCTAATATCCAGGAAGGGAGAAAATATTACTCCTGATATCACAGAGGGTGTACACCCCACCTGTGATATTGTTTCTAATACAGGGGTGGGGGGAGAAAATGATATTACTCTTAATATTGCTGGAGATGTACACCCTCACTCTGATATTGTTTCTAATATTCGGAAGTGGGGGTGAGATTACTCCCAATATCACACAGTGTGTAGACCCCCGCCGTGATATTGTTCCTAATATCCAGTGGTGGAGAGAATGATATTACTCCTAATATCGCAGTCGGTGTACATCTCCCCAGTGTTTGTTTTTAATCTCCAGGGGGCGATAGGATGATATTACTCCCAGTATCACACCAGGTGTACACCCCCCTCTTTATATTGCTTCTAATATCCAGGGGGAGATGATGATGTTACTGTCAATATCAAAGGGCGTGTACACATCCCCCGTGATATTGTTTCTAATATCCTAAGGTAGGGAAGATGATATTACTCCTGATATTGCAGAGGCTGTACATAACCCCTAGTGATACTGTTTCTTATATTCAGGGATGGGAGAAAATGACATTACTCCTGGTCGGGAAGAAGGCGTATATTGTTCCTAATCTCCTGTTCTCGCAGAATGATACATCCTTCCTAATATCCAGGGGAAAAGAAGGTGATGTTACTCCCAATATTGCATGTGGTGTACACCGCCCCCGTGATATTGTTCCCAATATCTAGAAGGAAAAAGGATAATATTACTCTTAATATCACATGGGGTGAACACTCCTTTTGCAATATTGTTAGGAATATCCAAGGATACAGAGAATATTGCTGTCAATATCGAGAAGGGTGTACACCCCCCCTGTGATATTGTTCCTAATATCCAGGAGGAAGAGGATGATACTACTTTCAATATCAAAGAAAATGTACACCTCCTTATGATATTGTTTCTAATAGCTGAGGGAAAGAGAATGATATTACTCCAAATATTGCAGGGGGGTGTAAACCCCGCCTGTGATATTGTTACTAATATACAGAAGAGGAGAGGATGATATTACTCCCACTATGGCAGGGGGTGTACATACCCATTATGATATTGTTTCTAATATTTACCAGAAGGGGAACAATGATATGACCGTCAATATAGCAGAGGGAGTACATCCCCCGTGATGTTGTTCCTAATATTTGGGGAAGAAGAGGAGGTTACTTTCAATATCAAAGGGATTGTACACCCCCCACTGATATTGTTCCTAATATCCAGGGGAAGAGAAAATGCTATTACTCCCAAAATCGCAGAGGGTGTACACCCCTCCTGTGGCATTAGTCATTCAATACAGATGAAGTGTGAATAATATTACTTCCAGTATCGCAGAGTGTGAAGACCCCTTGTGATACTGTTCCTAATATCCAGCGGAGAGGACATTACTCCCAAAAGCATAGAAGGTGTACACCTGTCCCTGTAATATAGTTCCAACTATGCACAGAGAAAGAGAATGATATCACTCCCCAAATTGCAAAGATGGTACACACCCCATGTGATATTATTCTGAATATCAAGGTGAACAGAGTATCATATTACTTTGAATATTGAAGGAGTCGTACACTCTGACTGTGATATTGTTCCTAATATCCAGACAGAGTCCGTTATCACTCCCAATATTGAAAAAGATGTAGAGCCCCCGAGGATACTGCCCCTGATATGCAGGGGTAAAGGATGATATTACTCCTAATATCGCAGGGAATGAAAACCCTCTTGTGATATTGTTCCTAATATCCAGAAAAAAACAGAATATTACTCTCAATATGGTAAGAGGTGTTCACCACTCTATGATATTGTTACTAATATCCACAAGAAAAAAAAATTATATTAAACAAAATATTGCATGGGGTGTAACCCCCTTCTGATTTCAATTCTAATATCAAGAAGGGCAAGGAAGATATTTTTGTCAATATCGCAGAAGTGGGACTCCAACTAGTGTCACGGTACCTAATATCAAAAAAGAAACAGAATAACATTATATTCTCCCTATGATATTGTTCCTAGTATCATATGACTCCAAATATCCAAAGTAGCCCATGAGGAAACCCCCTGCCATATGGTTCTAATATCCGGGGGTGGGGGGGCTGGGGTGATGTTACTCGCCATATGGTGGGATGGGGTGTGGGCACCCCCCTGCCATATGGTTAGTAACCAGGGGGGCTAGAGTGATATTACTCTCCATACGGGTGGGGGGGGTGTGTGGGCACCCCCCCACCCCCGCCATATGGTTCTTAATATTCAGGCGCAAAACCCCGCATCATTGTTCCTATTCTCCAGGGGCTGACAGGATGATATTACTCGCCATAATGCTTGTGGGGGAGGGGAAGATGTGGGCACCCCCCCAATATGCTTCGTAATATCCAGGGGCGGCCGGGGTGATATTACTTGCCATATCGCGCCCGTGATATGGCCGGGGTGCTTCAGGTGACAGACACCCCATTTACCCCCATGTAATGACTGCAAGTTGGATGCCTGTATCAAAGTATCTCAAGTACCCCATAAATACATACACCTATTTTGTACCCATAAAAACAAAAAGTTAAAGGTAAAAAAAAAAAAAAAAAAAAAAAAAAAAAAAAAAAAAAAAAAAAAAAAAGTCACTTGCAGTTAGTACTTCATGCAAAGTTAAAATAGAAAAACAAAAAACAGAAGATGGCTCCTAGTCCTTCAAAACCTAAAAAGTCTTCACTCGAATACTTGTAGCAACTGACCTACATGCTTTACTCTTCCAAAAATGGGAAAAACAAGATTAAAACCATAGTCTGCTTTAGATATTCTTCAAGTTTATATTGCCCATAAGCCGTATTTTCTAAAGTTCTTAAAATCAGTACTTTTGTGCTCTTATCTTGAATACTTCAAAGTACCTGATTATAGTATTGGAATGTAGTTGTAAGAACAAATGTCTTTATCATATTAATATAAAAATATTTAAGGTATTTGCATTTTGTTTTAAAATCAGTTCTTCA